AAGAGGCTCGTTGCCCAGCAACACCACGCGCGCTGCCTGTTGCCTGGCAACCAGGTGTCCCACCCCCGCGCCTGGCAATGACGTCATCGGACAACCGTTACCGCGGCTCTTGTATCCCTTGGGGGCGTGGCCAGAAGTGGAGAGCGGCACTTCCGGCGACGACCCCGGAAGCGGAATTTGTGCGGAGGGCACCGTGCGCACGTGCGGGAGCAGCATGGCGGAGGAGGTGGCGAGGGGCCGGCCGGCGGGGAAGTGGTGGCGGCTCCGCCCGCGCTGCTCTCGCTGGCCCCGCAGCTGCAGCGCCAGTTCCAGGCCAAGGTGCAGCGCGTCCGCGCCGCCAAGGTGAGCGCCCCGCGGGGAGGGCGGGGGAGGGAGGCTGCAGGGCCTCCCTCGGCGGGGCCTGCTGCTGACGTGCCCGGCCTTGTCCCCGCAGCACGAGAGGCTGACCCCGGGCGTGGTGTATTTGGGGCACATCCCGAGGGGTCTCTACGAGCCGCAGCTGCGCGAGTACTTCAGCCAGTTCGGGACCGTCACCAGGCTGCGCTTGGCCAGGAGCAAAAAGGTAAAACCAAAGAAAGGTGGGAAAAAAGCTTTTGGATTGTTCTGCCGTTTGGACAAAGCCCCGGTTGGGAGGACGTGCTTTGGGCAGGGGGTCGGGGTAGAGCAGCGGTCGGGCCTCAACCTGTTCTCTACCAGGACCCGCTGCCCCCAACGTGCGGGGCAGTCTCGGACTCTGCCCGGCTGCAGGGGAAAGCCCACGGGTTCCCATGGGTTTTTTTCCCTTAAAAATGGACTCTCCTTTAGAAGCCGGCTCGCAATCGTATGTTCTTGCAACTCGCTTTTGGGTCGTGACCCACGGGGGAGCAAACGCTGAACTAGCTGTGACCTCCTGAGGTCCCTTGTGGCGCTCCTGTCCTACGATTGTGTTCTCTGTTGCTGCCGTAGCTCGCTGGCTCGGTTCAGAGGTTGGAAAGAGCTGGAAGGGACCTCGCAAGATCATCGGGTCCAGCCCCCTGCACCAGGCAGGAAAGATAACGGGTCAGGAGACCCCAGCGACGTGACCGTCCAGTCTCCTCTTGGAGATGTCCAGGGCAGGCGATTGCACCAGCTCTGGAGGGAGCTTATCCACAGTCTGGACACCCGAAATGTGAAGAAATTTTTCTTACTGTTAAGCCTGCATGAGTCTTGCAGGAGTTTGTGGCCATTACTCCTTGTTTTCCCCCAAGGGTGCCTGGTGAACAGTTGTTTGTTGAGCCCGTGATATACTCCCCTGATGCAGTGGTAAACTGCTACCAAGCCTCCTCTCAGCCTTCTTTTTAGGCTGAAGAGGCCTAAGTCACTCAGCCTTTCCTCGTATGGCTTGCCGTGCAAGTCTGATCATACGAGTAGCCCTTCTCTGGACCCTCTCAAGCTTTTCCATGTCCCCGTTGAAGCGCAACGCCCAGACCTGGACGCAGTCCTCCAGCTGCGTCTCACCAGTGCCGAGTAGAGCGGAAGAATCGCCTCCTTGGCTTTGCTGGAGATGCATTGATTGACGCACGCCAGGGTATTGTTTGCCGTACAGGCTATAGCATCGCACTGCCGGCTCCTGTTCATGCTGTGGTCTATTATTACCCCCAGGTTTCTTTCAGTCGTGGCTAGTTGGCTTCTTGTCTCTCCTGCTCTGCTTTCACCGTCATAAGTTTCCCCGGTTGGACGTGACCGTTCTGTTCAGTGTTAGCTTTTTCTCTGTTTTCTCTGAAGTTCGTTCTCGTCTCTGCTCTTCCAGTCTCATAACTCTGGCACCTTTCTTCGCAACCAGATTCACTTCACTGAGGGACGTTATCAGAGCGGTCAAAATTCACTGCAAGACTTAGAGCATGGTGGAGCGATGGGATCCCTGAGCTTTCTGACTGCTTTGCTTGCATTTAATGAGCCGCGTTTCTACAGATGCTTGTGTTTTCATTCTTTACATCATCAGCGAGGCAACAGCTCTTCACTTGGTGGCATAAACTTTAGCTGGTCACAGATACGCAGTAAAATAGAAGAGTTGAGTCATGTTTTTGGAAATGATGTAACGTGAACATATTTGTTACTTGTGGGATTAGAGACTGACCTAAAACAGGTACAATTTATACCGAGGGCTTGGAGTTGTTTTTGTTTCTCTGAGAACAGAACGTGACCCCTTGAAGCCTAAGGCAGCAGCTAGAGTTGTTTTGGCATCTGGCGCTTAAACACTCCTCTAGTTTTCTGATACTGTTGTTGTCGTCTGCAGACTGGAAGCTGTAAAGGCTACGCATTTGTAGAGTTTGAGTCCGATGACGTTGCTAAGATTGTGGCAGATACCATGAACAACTACCTCTTCTGTGAAAGGCTTCTGAAGTGTGAGTATGTATATCCGATACCTGTTGTGGGAGGGAATGTATTCGTTGCACATGTGGGTATTTTTTCTGGACACTTTGGGAATTTCTTCACTGCAACATTAGAGTTGTAGCGCAAGAATATTTTTCATATGGACGCCCCGGTTTGCTTGGTTTCTTTCTCTATGAGGATCTCTCCCGCATGGGGGTGCCTCTGGTGCTCTTTTATTTCCTACCACTTTCCAATTTAAATTAAAAAAATTAGAACAGCATTTCAAGTCCTAGTGATGGGACCTCTGTTGTCTTTCATAGTATAAAACCACTCCACATAGAAACGTTCATTTGGATAGAAACTCTTTTCTACCCATGCTCTGCTGCAACCACTATTATTTAATTACATAGATTTACTATGGGTGGGTGGGTTAAAAACTCAGCACAGCTGGCAAGATATTCAGAGATGCTGAGCTAAGCACATACCATTCTTGAAAACAGTAAGAACTGCAGGTGAAAATCAAGCTGTCTTGGAGAGCCCAGTGCTCTGAATCCCCTGCCGCTCCACGCCGTGGCTATCCGTAAAAATGACTAAGGGAGGTTACCTTTTGCTAGGCTGACGTAATGCTGGTGCATAGTGGGTGGATAACAGTTACTGAGTATCAGTATAGAACACAACCTACAGCGGGTCTATGTACAATAGTGATTGACGTTTATTAATATAATTTAGGCAAAAATGAATGGCTTCTCTCTAACTTGGGGATGTCTGATTGTCCCAGGTCAGTTCATGCCACCTGAAAAAGTCCACGAAAACCTTTTCAAAGGCAGTGAGACTAATTTTAGGAAGCCATCGCGTCCAGCAGTCAAGCGGTATAACAAGCAGCGATCGCTCAAAGACAAGAAAAAGATGACAGAGAGGCTGCTTAGAAAGGAAAGAATGTTACGCAAGCGTCTGGCCGAGAAAGGCATAGATTACGACTTTCCTGGATTTGTAAGTAAATGCAGTTTGTGCCCAAGACTGGAACACCAAGGAGAAAGTATGGGGGTGGGGAGTAATCTAGCAACAGGGCAGCGACTAAGTAGGTGTTAAGGGGCCCGTGAGAGCTTTCATGAATCACTACGGGCGTTTTTACACGTGGCGTCGATGTGGCTACAGGTGCCTTTAATTAGCGAGCCGTATACCACGTGTATCAGCAGTGCGCTTTGAAATAAAGCTCCCTGAATGTGTTTTATTTCAAAGTGCACTGCTGCTGTTCTCTCAGCATGGAGACGTGCTGCGCCGCTGTTGCACGTGATGCACAAGTATGCCAGAGCGCGTCAATTTACGTGCTCCAGCAGACTCAGTCTGGTAGACTTAATCAAATCTCCTCCAATGCGCTGAATTTCCAGCACGTCAGAGCAGGGCTCACCGCATGTGTGTAAATGCCCTGTGTGGCATCGCTGCCTCATTTGGTCGGTGCAATTTCAGTGACACTGCTCTTTCTTAGAGAAGGCTGTGGCAGACTCAAAAACTAATCTTTGATTTCTGTTGCTATGTGCTGGTTGTCTCTGAAGAGCTTAGAGACTGCGCTGTAATGCCTGAGCGCTAGGGCTGTGCAAAATTTTGCCGGCAGTTTCGTTTCGGCGCTGTTTCGAGCTTGAAACAGCAAAATCGCAACAAAACAGAGAGCTTCGAAACAGCCTCAAAATGAGGCAAGTCGAAACATTTTGAAATTTTTCGAAATGTTTCGAAGCTCAAGCTGGGCTTGCCTGCAGGGAAACAGAAACTAAAGTGGGGAAGGGGGTGCTCTCATTGACTGCGTAGCTGGCCAGTGACTGTCATCCTTTCCTGAGGTCCCTTCCAATCCCAGTGCTCTGGGGGAGGGATGGAAAAATTGCATCAAAGGTAGCATTGTTTGAACTGCCCTGCTTTCTGCCTTGGTGTCAGTTGGGTGAGGGTGCACCTTAACACACACAGTGTCACCCACGTCACAAGTTTTGCTTGTCCACACCTTGAGGTGCAGTTTTCCCCAAACCCCTGCACATATCTCCCTGAAACTTGGCAGGCTTCGTGGCCTCAGCAGGGGCTAGCAAGCCTGCAGTTTTGAACCCACTGTGGCTTAACACATACACGTGACATGAGTTTTTAGCTTTCAAGACTTTGAGGTGCAGTTTCCCTGAAACCCCTGCACCGATCTCCTTGAAACTCAGCAGGCTTTGTGTCCTCAGAAGGGGCTGCCATTCCTGCAAGTTTCATCCAAATCAGGCCAACACTTACGTGGTCTTATCCTTCCCCTCTGGCCCCCTTGGCAAAAGGTGTAGCAAACCAGAAGGCTTCTCTTAGCTCTGATTATGGGTTGCATAGAGCCTGAATCTGATTGCTTCTGTTGCTAGCTCCCATCTGTTAGTGCAGCAAAGCTTTTGTAATCATGAAGGACCGTCTACAAGCCAGGTTAGGAAAGCCCCATCCTCGTTCTGCATGCAGTTCCATGTCATGACTCCCTTCCTCCGCTCCCACAGGCTGCAGGAATACCTCGGCAGAAAAGGAAGAAAGTTTCAAAATCAGAGTCAAACTTGAACGTTTCCGTGAACAGCCAGGTGAGTTTAAACAGCTGTTTTTAAAGGGAGAGGGTGTGTTCCCTAAGCCCTGTGACAGGCAGCAGTATGTGTATTCGAGGCATTTGCTTGGCTGTTTTGGGTTTGTTGGCGTTACCTTCATGAGCCTGTGGCCACTTGCTAATGGGAAGCTGCCTTGGTTAGTGGTGAAAGCTTTCACGAGTGAGAAGTGCTGGCATCTGAGCAGCCTGCTTATGCTGCTGGCCTGCAGCCTTGTTCTGCATTGCAGTAGCCACCTCTGTGCCCCGCAAGCTGCATTTTCTTGTGGAGCTAGAGCCTTGCACATAGTGGGAAGCCTTCAGTCTTCTCAGGGAGTTCACCCCAAATTGATGTCTCTATCCCCCATCCCACAAGCCACTGCTTCTTCAGGCCACTTCCACACTTGCTTTTGCAAACATGGACACAAGAGAGCAGCACCACTCCACATTAATGACAGGACCTGGAGCTCCTTTGTACTTGCAGGGTCACAATGCTCAGATGCAGGGAGAGTGGGCAGCCATGACTACAGCAAGCACAGAGTGACTGACTGGCTGCAGGCTTTGCCAGCACAGATTGGGGCACCCAGTGCTGGGGCTCGATCATGGTGTAAAGCTGGGGCAGTCAGCAGTGATGCCAGAGCTTCACTGGCATCTTGAGTTCCCTCCAGCTCTAGCTTTCAGGCATCCAGGTGAGAGCACCCCTGTCAGTGGATGATTGCCACATGGAAGCTTGCAACCTCAGCTTGTCCCCCCCACTTCAGTAGGGGAGTAGTTTTGGTATTGAAGATCAGTGGTAGACAGGAGCTGTCAGCTGGGAGCCTCGGGCAGTAGTGTGTGTCCTGGTCGGCGTAGGCCACGAGGCAGGAGCTGATGGATGGATGTAGGGACATGGGCTTCCCACTTGGTGGTGATGAGCATGTGTATGTATGTCCTAGTTCTGTGCCACTCCACCCTCTTGGCTGTTAGTGCACAGATTGAGGGTGGGGTGGGGACAATAGGACAATTCCCCACAATGCTGCAGGCCCTGGGGATCGTGCTGTGCGATTTCCAGAGCAGCCAGTTTTGCCACCAGGAAAAGCCCAGCCTTGCTCAGGCCTTCTGGAATACAGGGCTATCCCTTGGGGTTGTTTTTCAGTCTGCTCAGTGCTTGTGATGTCTAGACAGAAGCAAGAAAGGCATGTCACCAGTCGCGTGCGCCTGTCATGAGGTGTGAAGTCTCTAGTTGCCACCGGGATCTCTGAGCTCATTGCTGGCAGTCCAGGCTCTGGCCCTACTGCAATTCTTGGCCTTCTTATTTTGCTTCTTGTGTGCCCAGCATTGGGCCTCATCCCTGGCATCCCCTAGTCATCAGTTGCCTTGGAGGACATCTCTAAAATTGTAGCCCCTGTGGGGCTGCCCAGGGAGATCCAGATCTCTCTTCTGGTTCATTCAGCAGCATAGGGGTGAGCTGCAGCTGCGCTTGCAGGATTGAGAAAGTCAGCACCAAATGGAAGCAGATGCGGCTGAGCCAGCCCACTGGATGTTAGACAGGCAGCCTGCTCCCAGTCATTGCAGCCTCTCGGCATCATACTTGGAAAATGTTGGGAGCCCTCATCGGCTACATGAATTAATCAGTGCAGCTGGGACCATCCAGCTTGCGTGCCTGAGGTGCCTGTCTGTGTTGTGGTCTGAGAGTGTTGTCCATGGAGGTATTGTCCAGCTTTCTGCTGTCACTCGTCAGTGGACTGTTTGCGCATTGCATGTCCTACTCCTTTCCTGCAGCTGCCAGGGGCCAGCCGTGCCTGGAGAGCAGAGTGCTGACATTTGGGATCAGAGGAACAAGCTCCAGCAGTTCCCCAGGCTTGTCCTGTACAGCCACATAATCGGGCCAGGATTGGGTGTGCATTAGCAAGATGTGTATTAAGCAATAAAGATGAGTGCTGGGAACTCCCTGTTTTAATACAGTGCCACTGGGGTGCAAATCTGCCATAATCTGCAAGAACAGACCGTGAACCTGTTGAGAGAGTTTTCCAGGTTAGAAACTCGTTGCACTCGCTGTTTCTGACGTATAAGGAGCTGGGCTCCACTGGTAGCACCTGTTGAATGCTGTTACTAATGCTGAGTGTCTCGCTCGCTTTACCCAGGATCCCACCCCGGTCTGCACCCCCACAGTCCTCAGTCGTCGGAAATCTCAGTCCCAAGAAAGTGACTTGGATGACAGTGAAATAACCATCAAGCTGCCCCCACCCAGCGTGACTGCCAGGCTGAAGAGGACACCAGCAAAGAGAAAAGGGAACCTGAAGAAACGGAAATAAACATGACCCTCCCCTGTTAGTAGCCAAGTATTTTTTTTATTTTTATTTTTTTTACCCAAAGGGCCATTGGGAAGCCAGGGGTGCTTGTAGGTTTTGCTGGTTTGACCTCCCTCCATTTGATTGGGCTAGAGGTTCGCAGCCTGTGTGTAGGGGGCTCCCCCTCCATGCATTTTCAGGGGATCCCAGTCTTTTGGCACCGAGGGGAGCAGCAGCCCTTCTAGCAGGGAGCCTGTAGCTGGAAAATCCTGGGACCTCTCCTGTCTGACAGAATGAAAATGCCAGTCCCCTGCCCTGCCTGCTCTGTCCCCAAGTTAGCCACGCACCTCGCTCCTTGCATCTTATTAGTGCAAAGAAATCCCTGGTGCTTTCCAGCCCGCCTCCAGACCTGGTGCTGGCAGTGTGGTTTACCATTGTAAAGAGCTGTAACGATGTGATGTATTTTTATAAACATTTTAGAGAGAGACTGCTGTTTCTGTCGGCAGTGAGCCAGCTTCCCACCGGGATGGAGCAGTCCTCTCATTCATGAGTCCCACTGGTTTAGCCAAAGCTTCAGGCTCTTTGCAAGTGGAACCCAGACCTTGTGCCTTAACCACTCGTTAGCACAAGCATTTCTGAAAGGAACTTCAACTTCCTGCTGTTCAACATACTTTAAGAACTAGCATCAGCCTACGGGCGGCTCAACAAGCAAGTAGAAGCAATGTACTGGTTGTCTTCCTGAAGTGTGTAGTTTTGTCATTATATGTAAAAGAATACGTCAAAATCTGTGATTTATTTTTCTGTTTCCCGTAAGCATTTTTCACCACTGGGAAGTAGGACGGTGAGTTCTGTCCAGGCAGTGGATAGTGCTGAGTCCTGCTTTGAAGGGGTCATAGCCTAGATGTAATCCGTTCCCATCTAGAGAATGGGCAAAATTCTGCTCTTGCCCTTGGTGATACAGGTGTCTCTTCCTTTTGGGGACGAGCGTGGCTAAGACCTGAACCAGAGTGGAAGACTTGGAGGTTGTACTTGCAGCTCTTCCAGTCTGGCCTTGGGCAACTCATTTAACTGCTCTGTGCCTAAATGAAGCCATCTGCAGAATAAGGGTTTTGTACCTCTTTATTGGGGGAAATAAATTCTGCCTCTGCTGCTCCGAAGCAGGTTACTATGCATGGTGTGTTTAGTTTTGCACTGATACACTATGCCTGTGAGTTGTGGGAGCTTATTCCCAAGCGAATGGCGTGGTTCCTGTTTTGATGGCAGAGGGCACGGAGGCTGGCTTGACTGCTGCAAAAAGAATTAAGCTGTCATAAGCTGGCCTCATCTGTCACAGATGCATGGGAACTCTTCAATCTGACACTGGCTCCAGCGAAGTGTGCAATGCTGGGAGTGAGCAGGCCTGGCACAGCTGTTGGGGTGACTGCCAGTTCAGCCTGACCTCCTCTAACATCTAGTCTCATCGTGGGCTGGGGAGATTACTTTGGCACAGGCTGTTGAAGTGTTCCCACGGGGTGATCTGAAGCTGGGCAGGGGAGACGTCCAGTTCTCCAGCTGTTTTCCCTGTCAGGTATGATGAATCCTACTCATCAAAGTAGAGGCTGTGCCTTTTAAAAGGCCCCTTGGTACTAAACTGTGTTTAGGTGGGGTATTTTACCTTGTAGGTGTGTTGAATCCCCTGTACTCTGCCCCTTGTAGAAACAGCTGTAGTGACGGGTCATGTTTAAATTTTGCTCATCACTGCAACCTTAACAAAATATACCTGGCCGTGACCGCTTGTTGCTTGAACAAAGATGCTCCTCCTGTTACAGTGTTATAAGCTCTAGGTCCAGTTCAGCGGAATATTTTAGAGGAAACCCCAGGCCAATTTTGGAGCCAGTCGGGTACGGTCCATGCTACTCTGGGGCTGCCTAGCAGCCCAAGAGAAGTTTGATAATTTTCTGACAGCCTTGTGATTCGAACAGTCACACAAATGAGGACTAACTCCAGCTGCTAGCCTGTGCTTAGTGACTAGTCAGCTGATTCCCTTTGATATCTCCTAGCAATTAAGCCTGGGGCTGGATGTGTATTCAAGCAGTTGACTTCTTGGACAAAAGGCAGCTCTGGGGAAAAGAGCACGCTGGCCTGATACAATCCCCAACTGTACTTTCCTTCTTTAATAGCAGAAGCGTGCCTTCCTATCACGTAACACACTAGTGCTAATGTGTTCCTTTGGCTTTGCACAGCAACATTAATTTTAAACAGAAAGGATTTGTGATCTGTATTTTAACTAGTTACTTTTTCAGGTAAGAGCTTGAAAGCAGCCTTAAGGTGGGTGTTCGAAAACCGGTCAGAGGGTAGGAAGCCCAGGCAAGGTATTGCTCGTTTGCTTTGAAAATCTACTAGCAACCAAGGAACTTGAGCTGGAATTTGTCTGCAGCAGCAACAGCCTGTTAAAGACAGCAGGGATGGGGAGGGCCTGCAATTGTCCATGACTACTTTATACAGCACAAAGTAATAGGAGAAGCAAAGATCCAGCCTATTTGCCCTGTGCTGCGTGCTCTCAAAATGCTGTTGCTTGACCTGAAATATTTCACGTCACCGAAGGCCGCTACACAAAGTAATTGGAACATGTGCTCCTGGTAGAAGGGTTTCCAGAGTCGTGTGCTGTCAAAGAGACTTTCTAACACTGGGTGGCAGTGGATAACCCCACCTCTTGTTGAGCAGACAAAGAGACTGGAGTCTCAGGAATCATTTCCCTGGTTTGCATCAAGATTACATGGCTCTAGTGAGATGGTCTGATACTTGAGCATCTGTGGGACTCTCCGAGGTGTCCACCACATTGGTGTTTGCAAAGTTGTTATGGGACCTTAATAAAACCAGTCCTGTAGAGGAAAAGAAATGCAAGCCTCTACAACTCTTGGTTCAGAGATGAAACCTTTTATTAGACCAACTGAGAAAATGCAAAAAAAAAATCTTTCTTTGCAAGCTTTCAGGTTCACACGTCCTTCTTCAGGCCTAGGGAAAATTAAAGATAGTACAAGTCCCCATAGGTTCCTTTGTGTAAAATGAAGTTTATTTTTCTACCTGGGGACACTTGTACTATCTTTAATTTTCCCTGAGGAAGGGCGTGAGAGCCCAAAAGCTGGACCCAGAGGAACAGACTTCCACCTTCAGCTTCCTCTGTGCAAAAATGAAGTCTATTTTTTACCTATGGGGACTTCTTATCATCTTTGATTTTTACCTGAGCCCGAGGAAGGACATGCATGCCTAAAAGCTGGCAGAAAAAGTTGGTCTGCAGAGACCTCCTTGGCCTGATGAAGGGTTTTTAAACCTGAAAGCTTGCTAAAAATTTTTTCCAACTATTTAAGTTGGTCTAATAAAAGATATCGGATTCGCCCAAAGATCCTTGTCTGCAGAAAAAGATATTGCAAAAAAATGATCTCAGTTGATTTAATAAAAGGTATTATCTCTGAAACAAGAGTTTTAGAGTTTTGCATTTCTTTTTGTCTTGGATCAACATGGCTATCAAATGCATTCGTGTAGAGGAAGGTATTTGATGCTGGCAGAAATGATGATGAATGCTCCTGGCTGAGGACATGGTGTTAGACTACAGCTCTCAGCCTCGCTTTGCTTATCCAGCTTGCTGCGGAGAATTGTTTCCTCCCTGTTCCCTTCCTGAACGTGCTCTGACACTGCATTCCCTTATCTTGTACCTTGGGCGTCTCCCTGTGCGTCCTGGCTCTGCTGCTCCCCCGCGGCCCCTTTCCTGGGGGCACTCATGCCAGTGCAACTTCCTACTGACTTTTCCTCCGAGCACTGGCTGTGCCTGGAAATAGCCCATCTAGTCTTGCACGCCCTATGCTGACCAAGCCAGCCAGCCTTGCCCTTCATACCATTTGCCCAGACCCACTCCTGGGAGCTGGCACTT